CGGGGACATTCACACTGTCGGGGCATCCCTAACTGTGCCAACAGCAGAGGGCGGTTCCATCCACCTCCTGCTTCGATTGCAAGCTGGTGTGCATGTCCTAGGAAGATCTGGCCTGGAGAGCACAGCTACAGACCTCTGCATCGTGTACGTCTCCAGTCCCTCCCAGGGAAACCCCTTCGGAACTCCTCCTTTAGGGGGTTGTCCCCAGCGATGCAGAGAATGAGACGTTGGAGCCTCAGGTATACATGGTTTGCTGAGATTCTGATTAAATCTCTGTTCCCTGCTCTGAATCCTCATTTAGCTTTCGATCAATGTCATGTTGAATGAGGAAAGCTCACGACAGGCACCCTGGGAGTGGGGATGATGGCTCCAGAAAGAATGGAAGGCCTGGGTTTCAGGAGCAGGAGTGCTCCTTAACGCAAGTTCCCTCCTCTGTGGATGGAGACCCAGTGTCGGTGCTCCGGGTGACAATGTTCATCACTCACAATGCTTTACACAAATAAAGTGAAAGTGCTGGGGCCAGCGCTGTGGTGTAGCAGGTAAAGCTGCCGCTGCAGTGCCAGCCTCCCGCATGGGCACCGGTTCAAGTCCTGGCTGCTCCACTTCCAATCCAGCTCTCTGCTGTGGCCTGGGAAAGCAGTGGAAGATGGCCCAAGTCCTTGGGCCTCTGCACCCATGTCGGAGACCCAGAAGAAGCTCCTGGCTCCTGGCTTCAGATCGGCCCTGTTCCAGCCATTGCGACCATTTGGGGAGTGAACCAGCGGATCAAAGATTCTCTCTCTCTCTCTCCCTCCCTCCCTCCCTTTAACTATGCCTTTCAAATAAATAAATTTTAAAAAATAAATAAAAATAAAGTGCCTCCTCAGCCTCTATTTGCAATTACGTCTTCTACCACAGTCTGGCTTCTAGCACCTCCCCTGAGCTCTGTCACAGACCAGGCAAGTACTACCTCCACTCACGGAAACCAGACACAAAGATTTCTCGAAAGACTCTCCAGGAACTGTTTGACTGCTTCACCCTTGGGTAACTATGAGATTGGTAAAGGGGCAACTGACTTGAGGCCTGTCTTTATTGGTTCTATTTTCATTTGTCCTATGATGCCTACTTTATTTTTTTTAAAGTTTATAAATTTTCCTCTACTTGAAAGGCAGAGCAACACCAGACACACACATATACACACAGAGAGAGTGAGAGAGAGAGAGAGCAAGAGGGAGAGAGAGAGAAAGAGATCTTTTGTCTGCCAGTTCACTCCACAAATGCCTACAACAGCTAAGGCTGGGCCAGGCTGAAGCCATGAGCCAGAAACTCCATCCAAGTCTCCCAAACGGATGGCAGGGGCCCAAGCACTTGGGCCATCACTGGCTGCCTCCCAGCATGCATTAGTAGGAAGATGAATCAGAAGCAGATTAGCTGGAATTCAGACCAGCACTCCCACAGGGACATGGGCATCCCAGCAGCGGCCTAATGTGCTGTACCACAATGCTTGTCCCATGACTACTGCTTTCATAATTTCCTTTCAAGAAAAAAAAGGTTCAACTTCATCAGGAGGGAGAATGAGAGGGGGAGGCAAGTAGGAACTCATGCATGTTATATAATCCAGGAGTCCCTTTGGAAACCTTGGGTGGATGAAAGATCTGATGTCCTTCCAATATATCTGGATAAATAGCAATGAAAGGTACAATAAGACTAAACTAACATTTATTGAGGATTTACTTGTGGCAGGCACTACCCAAAATTATTTAGACCTATTAACTCACTAAATCCCTACAACTTCACGAGATAGGTACAACTATGATTCCCATTTTGTAGATGAGAACACTGAGGCAGGAGGCAGGAGGGGCTGGAGCATGAGGCTGCAAAAGGGCTTGTTCTTTATCTGGTGCCTACTGAAGGAAGCTAAGAAGGGACCAGGGGACAGTCAGTCTGTGTTTTGTAAGAAGGCTGAGTAGTACTGGAGAGAGAGGTGGAGAGATGGGAGGGTGGGGAGGATGGGAGAGGCAGGGAGGCAGTGAGGGGGTCACACCGACAACCTGCGGCAGCGTGGCCAGGACTGGAGGCAAGGCAGCCTGGAAGATCACGCCTCCAGAGGAAACCATCTCAGGAGGAGACCTCCTCTGTTTCTGGAGTTATGCGGGAGCTGGATACAGAGATTGGGGAGACACTAGCATATAGGAGTCATTTGAAACCATCCAGGGAGAATATTCAGCATAAGAATAGAGACAGGTGACACGCCTAGGCTCTAGGGAAAACCAGCATTCACAGAACGGGGGACAGAAAAAGAAAGGTACAGAGAAATGGTTGGGGAGATGATGAGAGGGAGAGGGAGAAGGAGGAAGGAGATAAGAGAGGGGAGGGAAGGGGAGGGAAGGGGAGAGAAGAGGAGGGAGGGGAGGGGAGGGGAGGGGAGGGGAGGGGAGAGGAGAGGAGAGGAGAGGAGAGGAGAGGAGAGGAGAGGAGAGGACAGTTTACAGAAGTCCGTGGAGCAGAAGTGGTCACGGATGTGGTGAGAGAGACGGAGAAATGCAAGGTGCCTAGAACAAGACGCTGAGTTTGCACTGGACTTGAAGAGGCAGGGTGACAGCTGTCATGGGGCAGGGTGACATGTCACCGGGAATGCAGCATGAGTGGTCATCAGTTGCACCTCCCACGTGTGTCACTCACCATGTACAGCCTTGATCAAACTACTGCAGGTGTGACTGTGTCCCTGCTGGAAAAATGCAGCTGACCATACCCACTCTGGTAAGCTGGTGAGGAAAGACAGCTCAGGGACTGGCGGTCTCTCGGCTCGCCCCTGGCCCCTCCCAGAACACTGCCTCATGGGCTAGATGGGTCTTTTCACACATGAGGTACATCCATAGGTTCATGGAAAGCAGAATTAACAGAGAAGCTTATTCTGGTGCAGAGTTGAAATCCATGCGTTGTTTTTTCATAAGATGCATTTTCCGTGAATTTTTGCAAGACCCCTCATGTGTAACACCTATGGCTAACTAGTCTGTGAATTGCTCTGGAGACAGGGATGAGGGTTTTAAACCAATGGCCATATTTTGACTTTGGGCAGGGACTACAGAATAAGAATAAAAGAAGGTGGAAGATTTCAAGAGGAAGAAGCAGAAGAGAGGGCCTTTCAGCACTTCACATAGGGGCCCAGTCCTGACGACGGGGAACAGTGGCCGTGCAGCAGTGGGTGTCCCCAGTTGCAACGCATTCACTAGGAAAAGTGGAAGGAGGGAGACTCGCTTTGGCTGATGGGACCAGGTAGGCTGTGCTGCATCAGGTGCTAGGGGCAGAGGGGCACAAGAACGCAATCAAATTGGAAATCAGCAGGTAAGCTTATGGAAAGCTAAGAACCTCGGTGAGGTCAAAAACAAGGTGTTAGGGGAAAGTGAGGAGAGAAAGGTGGCCTGGGCTTCAGCAGGCACAACCTAAGGTGGCCCCCAGTGAGAGTCACACCAGGTACAATCCCATCGTGCCTCCCCTTAGCTCAGCAGAACCTGTGACTTCCCTCAAAGCAGCAGACTACGGCAAAGGCGATGTGACGTCACTACCGAGATGACGCGACATCACGTGCAAAGGCAGTCCACCAATGGGATGGAGGCTCCCATTCTGTGAGTCGGAGTCAACAGCAAGGACCTCATCGTGGGTGGGGCTGACGAATTCCTTTAAAGGAGGGTCTGGTTGGGGACTTGAACACTGACTGTCCCTCCTCGGGCCTTGATGCAAACCACATGAGTTCTGAAGCCACAGGGAAAGGAATTCTGCCAACAAGCAAGTGAACTCGGAGGCGGTGGCCGAGCTTCGGCGGAGAACGCAGCCTGGCTGTCACCTCGGTCACAGCCTCGGGAGACCCCGATAATGACCGGGTGTTGATTCACGCCTCCACGTTTGAGGTAGCTGGTTATGCGGCCGGGGAGACCAACATGTGGACTTCCCCAGTGCGGAGAGCCACAATCAGGGGTCTCTGAACCAGGGACTTTGTTCTCCAGGCTGCAGGAACCCTTGCTATTTTTGCCTTGCTTTAGGCAGAAGGAAAGAAAGGGGAGCCTGGGTTGGGGTTGCTCCCAAGCCCCTAGAGAACAGTTTAGGCAGGGCACTGCTCCCTGGGGTGGCTCTGCAGAGCCTAGGTAAGTGACTTGCACTCCGGGATAAAATAAGCCAGCTACTCTTCCACCCCATTTAAAAAGAAGTAAAGAAAACAAAAAGGAAGAGGCAAAGATCAAGTCAAGAAATTGACAGTCACTGAAAAACCTTAAGGACCTTTAGTATTCTTGTTGCTAATTATAAATATTTACTCCTCCCAGAATTCCTGGCCTCACAGAAGAGCCTGCGTAAATAGTCCTGCTCCCTTACTGGAAAATGAGCGCGAGGGTGTGTGTGTGTGTGTGTTTCTTGGAACGGGACTGGGCAGTAATAGAGCACTGGATGATCCACAAAAAGTCACTTCCTGTTGGATATTGTTTCGTTCCCATCCCCCCGCTCCCAGGTCATAAACCCCCAGACCCCAAGCAGCTCCTCCTTCCCTGATTCCATCGCTGGAGACAACTAAGCCAAACAAACTCAGGAAGTGGCAAGAGATTGGGGAGGAGAGGAAGTTCATGGTACAGAAGGGAAAGGAAAGAGAATGCCCTGCTGTCCAAGGCAGGGGGAGGGGCAAGGGGAGGGGCAGGGGGAGAGAAACGAAGGTCGCTCCAAGGTCACTCGGCGCCAAGCCTCTGCTGCGCTACACTTGAGCTTTAAATCAAAACTGGCACAAACCACGGGTCAAATCTCGTGGGGCCATTTGAATATTAACATTCACAGCGATAAACAGCCCCCAAAAAGTCCTCTGTAAGCAAATCAGAACAAACAACCCATCTAAAACGGGTTGCTAAGAGACCAGTGGGGCAGGAGCCAACACCAGTTCAAATGTCTGGAGAGTTCTTTCTCGTGTGTGTGTGTGGGGGGGGGGCATGTGTGTGTGCGTGCGCGTGCACTGTCGGGACACAGAAGTGGGGCCAGGCTACCTGTAGATGACGCCATGTTGGTGCAGGAACATGAGGGCTGACGTCACCTCTGCAGCGTAGAACCGGGAACGAGGCTCGTCGAATTTTCGGGAGCGCTGGATCTGGAACATGAGGTCCCCACCGTTGACGTATTCCATGACGAAGAACAGCCGGTCCTGAAAGGAGGAAAGAGCATGACGTCACCGCAGCTGCCTGCACAGGACAGCTGTTGTGAGCCCGCTGCACGTGGCCACGAGTCCAGGTTGGAGGCTCAAGGTACACTCGTACCTTGGTACAAGGTACCTTTCTTGGTAGCATCTGCTCTAGAAAGAACAGAGGAATAAAGCACACACATTAGGGTATGTGGGCTATTTTAACAGTTTTTCTCTTACTTTGTCTTTTTTTTTTTTTTTTTTAGGATTCATTCATTTATTTGAAAGGCAGAGTTAGAGACAGAAGGATACACACACATACAGGAGAGAGAGACAGAGAGAGAGAGAGAGAGAATGAATCTTCCATCTGCTGGTTCACTCCCCAAATGGATGCAATGGGCCAGGCCAAAACCAGGAGCTTCATCTGGATCTTCCATGTGGGTGCAGGAACCCAAGTAGTTGGACCACCTTCTGCTGCTTTCCCAGGCTCATTAGCAGGGTGCTGGATGGAAAGCAGAGCAGCTGGGACTTGAACCAGCGCTCACACAGGATGCCAGTGTTGCAAGCGACAGCTTTACCTGCTATGCCACAGCACTGCCCCTCTGCCTTACTTCTGGGGGCATCCACCTGATGTAGTGAAAGGAGGCCTGGCACTAACGAGGCATGATCTCAGATAAGACTTTGTCCTTCTGAAGGTTCCAGTTAGCTCTACATGTATGTCAGGCTGAACAGGGAACCTCTGAAAGATACCAAGGGCCCAATTCCTGGAATGTGTGACTGTTCCCTTATATGGCATAAAATGATTTTACCAATACAAGATGCTGAGATGTGAGAATATTCTGGATTACCAGGGAAGGCACCAAATGCAGCCATAGGTGTCCTTAAAAGAGGGAGGCAGAGAGAGATTTGAGAAGCAAGAGGCGAGATAACCACCGAGACAGAGACTATAGGTAGGCAGCCGCAAGCCCACGGATGCAAAGAGCCATGAGAAGTGGGGAGAGGAAGGAAGGAGCCCTTGCAGGAGAATGGCCAGCCGACGCCTTGACTGTGACTCAGGAGAGTCAAGTTCTTTCCATAACAGTGAGAGAATCAAATTCTAGGGTTTGAAGCCACCCCATCCGTTGGCATTAGCTGTGGCATCATAGGGATGTAGTAAACGGTGGCATGGAGGAATGAGACTGTGAGATCCAGGAGGGCTCCCCTTGATTCCGGAGGTGGTTCCTCCCGGGGTTCCTGCGGAGCCTTCTCTCAAGGCAGCTCTCAGCGCTAGGCACATGCCATGGGAGGTGGTGTCTTCCTGTCCGCAATCCATGATAACGTGTGGAGAGGGGGACTGAAATACACTTGTGCACAGTGTCGTGACTGCTATCTTCTAAGTGACTAGCATATGGGATGCTAGGTGGTGGGTAAAGAATTAAATCCATCACAGCCCTGGGGTACTTACAATCCAGAGATGGAGATGGGGAACAGGCAGAATGATAGAAATAAAGTAGGATCTGAGTGCATTCAAGACACCAGGAGCTGAAAGGGTTTAGAGCTTGGGGGTTGTGGAAGATTCTAGAAGGAACTAGGCTTTGCGAGAAAGAGCAGGTGGGGAGAGGCAGGAACAAATGCCACCACGGTGTGGGAGTGGGAGCAAGGTGCGCGTGCTGAGGGGTCAGTCACCCGACCTGATCAGCTGGGGAGGAAGCTTGGCAAAGTGAGCGGTGAGGTCTGAGAGGGGAGAGGGGCAGGGAATATTCTCCATGCATCCGGGCAACGCTTCCAGGGCTGGTCAGCACCTGGCTTTCACGAACATGGAGGAAACACCACCAGTGCAGATTGTTCCCTCATGAAGCGTATCTGCCGGAGCAGCAGCTCTGTGACCGTAAGTGCACGGTTAAGAACTGTTCACTAACGCAAGCAGCCTTCTCCCTCTGCACCGTCCCAGAGTGACCGCGGCTGTGCTGTTTGCTCAAAAGGCCCAGGGCCCGGCTTCTCTTCCCTTTGCCTGTCAGTTTCTCCCCAGAGTACAGCTGAGTACTCAGGAGAGCACAGGCTGTCTTCTGATAATTCCTGGATTTGTCCATCCTCCATTCAGATCCTCCTTTCAAAACCCAAGGGCTCTGGCCAACCCCTGTCCAATGAAATCAGCCCCGCTGCTGTGGCAGCCAGGGCCCCACAGCCGTTAGAACTCCCCAAGTGATCCCAACGTGCAGCTAGGGCTCAGGACCAGGCGCTCACATCCATCTGGTTTCTGTCAAGGTATTCTGCATCGGTGCCATACAGAATTACAAATCACTCTGGTTTGCCTCTTTCTCTCCTTGAGGATTCCCCCAAAGAACAAGGGTTCTCCAATGCATGTGTCAGAAAGGCAAGGAGGTTTCTTAGAGCAGGAATTCCTGGGCCCCTGGCCAGAGTTTCTGACTCAGAGGGTTTGGGGCGAAACCTGAATATCAGCAACTACAGCAGGTTCCCAGGTGGTCCCAATGCTGCTGGGCCAGGCTGCACTTTGGAAACCCCTGCCCTGCAGCGGCTGGGCGAGCCTCCTTCACAAGTCCAGCTGCATCGGTCCTCTTGCGCCGCCCCAGTCCAGCGGTCCGCACCATCAGAGCCACGGGAGCACCTGTTAGCTGTCACTGAACCTGAACTTGGCAGCAGGGGAAGCTGTTGGCCATGTTGAAGAGAATACAAACATCCCCTCCCCCATGCGGCCCTGGGTGCTTCCTATGCCACCAGCACTGGACACGAAGCGTTCAGGTCAGGGGGACTCCCACCCCACTTCATCACTTATGGGCTGTGTGACCTCAGCCCGATGACTTCATCTCTTCGTGCTCGGTTTTCCCATCTGCAACAACAGGACCTGCCCTTTAGGAGGACTGAGCATATGCAGCAATGCCTGGCTTTGGGGCAGACGTAGGACAAGGTGGCTAAGCCGTCACTTGGGACATCCATATCCTGTATCAAAGTGCCTGGTCCGAATCCTGGTTCCACTTCTGATTCCAGCTTCCTGCTCACAGGCACCTGGGAGGCAGCAGGTGATGGCTCTAGTACTTGGGTCGCTGCTGTCCACGGGGTTCCTGGCTCCTGGTTTTGTCCTGGCCCAGTCCTGGCTGTCATGGGCATTTGGGGAATGAACCAGTGGATGGAAGTGCTCTTGTATGCGCGCACGCTCTCTCTCTCTCTCTCTCTCTCTCTCTCTCTCTCTCTCTCTCTCTTCCTTTCAAATAAAATGAAAATAGATAAATACTTATTTGAAAAACGCCTGGCTCACAATCGGTGTTCCATGAAGATGGCCACGACCAGCGTTACTGATGGTTTCCTGGCTGCTGTCCTCATTACCGACTTCGTTTCTTCTGAGCTCTCAGCAGGTTCCTTCCCTGTGGCTTTCCTCCAGGCTGACTCTCTCCCTCTGTTTTGCAGGATACTTTCTGCTTCTGTTGCAGGCTTCTCCTCTCCCAGTCAGGAAGTATTGGACTCCCACAAGGCGGGGTTCGAACCCCCCCCTCCACTTTGCTTTCTGCCCACCAAGTGATCTCATCCACGCCCACAGTTTCTGGTGCCTTCCATGCCCATGACGCACAAACTTGGACTCTCCTCCAAGCGCTAGGCCCACTTCTCCGCCCGCATTGCTGACCTCCCTCTAGATGCCTCAAAGGCATTCAGAGTCAACAGGTTCAAAAGTGAATCCAGAATCTTCTCCCACAAACTGGTTCTCACCTGGGGTTGTCTGTTGCCTGTTTTGGCCAACAGCTCACCCTTCAGTCGATTTTACAGACCAGAAACATGGAAGTCATTTTTCCTACCTCCTTCAACCCTTGCATCCATTGCCAAGCTGTGGTGCCTTTACCTGTGACCAAACCTCTGCCCTTGCTGCCCTTGGACCTGTTCCCTTCGTCTATTTCTCTCCCTCCCTGCCACCCACCCAGCCCAAGCAGCTACCACGGCATGCACGTCCCCCACATTATTCCAGTCCTGCCTCCAAAGGCCAGTCACACCCCAGGCAGCTTGACCTGCTGAAATGGAACTATGACTGTCACTCACCCCCTTTCCTCCTCATACTATGCTGTTAATTCTTTGAAAGGCTTCTGCTCACTCTTGGAATAGACAGAAAACTCCTTAGTAATGCATAATAGAGTAGTATATGACAGTGATAGAAATATACCTCAGGCCTGCAGGACCTCCTGAATGGTCTCCGTTCCAGCTGTGCCCCAGGACCTTTGTTCATGCTGCCCCCTCTGCTTGAAATGTTTCTCCCTCCTCTCTCCAGTTAATTCCTCCTCATCTTCAGGTTTCAGCAAGGCCATCTTTTTCTCCTAGGCAGCTGGCCAAATTCCCCTTCTCCGTGCCACACTCTCTGCTGCAGCACTCAGCACAGTGGAGATTTGATTTGTGTAACTGACTTATGACCCTATCCCCTAGTATGCTTCTTGAGGGCAGGAAACCACTGGCAATTCTGGACTGTTCTCTCTGTGTGTGTGCGTGTGTGTGTGTGTGTTTAAGGGAATTTTATGAATTCCTTTTCTGTATTTATTGTTATTTGGAATGGAGAGAGAGGGAGGGAGGGAGAGGGAGAGAGAGGGAGGGAGGGGGAGAGGGAGGGAGAGGGAGAGGAAGAGAGAGAGAGAGATCCTTTCCATCTGCTGGTTGATTCTCCAAATGCCTCAATATCTGGAGCTGGGCCAGACCAACGGAAGAGCTAAGAATTCAGTCAAGGTCTCCTATGTAAGTGGCAGGGCCTCAGTGACCAGGTTCCTTGAAATCCAAGCAGTGCATGGAGAGAGGAGCTAAAATGGCCAGGGGGTTCTAAGACAAAAACAGAACCCAAGGATGGTCCACCACCTGCCAGTTCTCCCTGCTTAGTGCATTAGAGCTGAGCCAGCCCCCTGCTCAGACCTCCTGCGGTGCCCACTGGAACCCTGCCAGCCACAGAGGACCTCCCTGTATCCGCAGCCCAATATCTGGCGACAGCCTTGAATGGCTCTCTCTTCCCGTGGAGAGACTATTCTCTTCCCAGTGACACGGTCAGCTCTTTGGGGAACACA